ATTAAGCTCCGTGGATGGATTTACTGAAGGAGCTTCAGCTAATGAGTTAATAGCCTGGGCTGCAGCCTGATGTTGAACCGGTTGTTGCTGATGTGGGAGTCCCAGGAGAGCAGGGTTCGAACAAAGGTCAAGGATATCCTCTGCTGGCTCCGGTGGTGGGGGCGCCCCGGGCAATGCTGGATACATCGGAGCGGTGGCCGGCGTGTAATTTGGGGGAGCAGCCAATTTCTCCCGAACAGCTTGTAACTGCTGTTTTAATTTTTCTTGAGAGTCTTTTAGGCTCCTAGTTTGAGATTCTGTCCGCCTTTTGGACATTTCATCATACCAATAAAAGAACGCGTCCCACTGGTTTTGTGGTGTTTTGGATCCACGGGACTCTAAAGCCCCTCTTAAGTGCACTATTTTATCCTGATCAAATGTTCCTTCTTGTGGAAAATGCTTCACAGGATCATCCCTAGTATACCAGTTCCACTTATCCAGGTACTTGCAAGCCTCGGGAGAATAGTGTGTGTACATAAAGTACGCCGGAGTCCCCTTAGGGGGGACAGGAACTTGTTTAGACTGACTCGTTCCCATTTTCAGTCACACAGGGAGACGTAGGAGAGGCTTATTTAGGATGTCCGGGCCGCTCAGTGCCTTGCCCCGCAGTTTTTCACTGCCCAGACAAAAGGCTTCTGACCCGACACCGGCTCATAAAATGGAAATGGGAAGGGAAACACAAGAGGAATCCTTTCACTCCTGCTCTCGGCAGAAGCTACTGGGACAAGGGGTTTGGAAAAGACAAAATCACTCAGACGCCCTGTCCACTGGGTCACGAGGTTTCAGCTGGGCCCCCTTGCTTTCGACGCTACCTTTTTTAGGCAGAATCGGGGCGGCTAGACCCAGCCTTAGTCCCAGACCTGGTCAGTGGCTCATTTTTCTAAATGCACACACGCACATTTATTCAATCACTGGGAAGCCCTGTCCACTGGGTCACGAGGTTCCAGTTGGGCCCCCTTGCTTTCAAAACTGCCCTGTCAGGCAGAATTGGGGCGGCTGAACCCAACCGTAGTCTCAGACCTGGTCAGTGGCTCATATTTCTAAATACACACACACATATCCATTCAGTCAGCCAGACCCCCTCCCACATTGCCTCGGTTAACTAACTGTGAGTCCAATGTGCTGTTAGATGGAGGTGATTCAGACAGATTCTCCCTGAACAGAACGTACGTTACCAGACAGGATTACCAGACAGAAAATTTTAGCCGGCAGTAAGGTTCAGACTGACCTGTTTTAACAAGGTTCAGATCCAGTTACCACGGCCAAGTTGGGAGCCTACGGCAGTCCTCCTCCAAAACCCCAGTAGAGATTTTGAATCAGGTCTCTTACCTCTCAAGTTTGGCGCCTCAGGTTTTGGAGGGGAGGGGACAGTCCGCAGTCCTCCTTCCTCAACATGTGTTCTGGATCCGAGTCACGGCACCAGGAATTGTCGTGGAAACACACGCAGCATACTTTTGGGTCAGGTCAGCAGAAGCTTTTATTCAAAAGAAACTACAGCTGTAGGGGGGACTCCAAAGTGACATGGATCTCCCAAGCACTTGGAAGGGGTCCCCCCCCAAGAGCAAAATCAGGAGGCTTATATACTTTTTAACAGTTGCTTACAACTCACGTGATCATATAGTGAAATTAGCATGAAAAGCGGCTATAACATTACTTCATTATTTCTTTGCTGTAATCAGGATGGGAACTAATGGGGGAGGCGAGGTTAGTTTAAGGCGCATATTTTTTCTGATTCCACAGTTCCCCCCCCTTTGAGACTATTTAGTCTCACTTTTTCTTTTCTGCTATCTTCAAAGCCATGGTGAGCAAAGCAGTTGCAAAGAAGTTACAAAAAACAAACACTTTCCCCTATCTGCTCTACTATACAGAGCCAGCAATTCCCCACAAAGCAGTTATGTCATCTTATAACTCGTATGATCAAAGTTTAAGGCATTTATTTTTTTCTAATTCCACACTACCACCTCCATTCCAGTGGCCGCCCCACAGTCAGCACCCAGACCTCATGGCCTAGTCACTCACCCATGTCCATCATGGCCCAGTGAAACTGCCTTACACGGCTATACCCTGTGCGGGCCGGCTCCCTGTCCCGTCCTCACCGGGCGCGGATTATGATATCCCCCCTTGTTGAAGGCAGAACTGTATCAAACCGCATGTTCATTACTTAAGAATCTGTCAATATAAGGAGTTCGTCCTCCAAAGACCGAATCAAATAACAACCTATATAAACACACATACACATAACTAAATTCAAAATGAAGAACTGCATGATCAGGGCTTCAGTAGGCGTCACGGCAAAGTCACACGTCAAGTCCTCGCTTCTATCAATGATGTTATCCCCCTCAGGGCTTCTCTTTGCCACGCACTCTGGATCCCGGATCTGTAAACAGAAACTTATCAAACAGATTAATGATCTTATCTAATAAACTTAAACAATCTCTATGACTCAATTGGATGAAACCGTTGAGGATCCATCATCTTGTTCTTCTAAATAACGAAAACCTAACTCATAAGCCAATCGCCATGGACCTGCATCTCCCAAAATTCGAAGCTGTCGCTTCGTGAGTCCAGAACGCTGTAGGAGAAATCCAAACATGTATCGCTCCTCTAGGGTTCTCGGTGGTCGGTTGGACTCGCGACATCTGGCATCCTGTGGTTTGGTCATATGTTGACAATCCTGATCATAATATGATCCGGACTCCATTAGGATACGTAGTTTTGGCAGTTGACAAAGGAGATTACTCACGGGCTGGTTTAAATTCCATGGCCATGAGATCTAGCCATGAAATTATAGCTTCATCAGATTCCATCTCAGATTCTTTGTATAGTTGCTGTAATTCTGTCCAAGCACGAATGCGACTAGCAACTAC